AGGGAGGGAGGGAGGGGGGACACCTCAAGCCACTCAAGACTATGCTTTTGACTACTACCAACTATAAGGTACTGTTCAGTGCTAAGCTTTGTTGGGTTTCTAATACATATTGGACTAAGTGAAAAAGCAAACTTTTGCATGCTCTCTTTGTTTGATTTTTCCTTCACTAATAATTTTTGCTGGCTTGACCACTCTGTTGTTGCTTGACCGTTCAGCAAAATGTTGAAGAATGTTAGATTATGTTCTGAGTCCTCCATGTTGATGTAATCCACTCTGAGCATTGTTTCACCATAGGAAAACAACATTCAAATAAATCTGATGTTGTTTCTAGGGGTGAGGAGTCTAATTCTTGAAAGAGTATTCAGTTGCAATTACTGAAGGATTTTTATGAAATAATTCTCATGCTAAAAGTGAAATCTGCTCTTTAGCATTGTTTTTGACTGCTCTTCCAGTGAGTGAATAAAGACTTTAGTTTTGAAAAAATGCATAGCTTTTTATGGACAATTGCAAACAGGAGAAAAATGGCAACTTGACAACTAGGATGATTTATTGTAGATTATTTGCCCAGCTACTAGCAGGATATGACACCTGAATTGCCACAATGGGTCATTTTTCTTTGGGCAAATCTTCTGGAAATTATAATTTCTCTCATACTTAACAACATCCATCATGCCATATATCAATGTTTGCTTTTTATACATGGATAATTACTGAAGCTTCATGAGACATACTGACTTCATTCTGGAGTGTTCAGCACAAAGACCTTCTCTCCCATTTTTTGCACATTCTGATTCCCACTTCCCAACCTAAAAACCCAGAGGCAAATATGTTTGTAAGCCTGATGGACACAATTTAATTGAAAGACCATAAATCAATCAGCATCCACTTCCAGCACAAGCAAGAACCATCTGTGTGCATGTATGTCTCATATCACTCCTCCTTCAGAATACATTACCCATACTTTGAAAAAAGCAAGGAATGGTCTTTATTCTTGCAGCCAAAACAAAGCCTATGAGTAAGAATGTGCCAGTCCACACAGTGCCAATGCTCTTCTATTTTTGTAGTAACTTTGCAACAATTGTAACAATTGATATTCAGTATACTATGTGTAATTCCATGCAAAAGAAAGGGGAGAAAAACATTCATTCCTTTCTGGAAAGGATCCATCATCCCTCACCATTGACTAGGTTGTTAGGGATGATGCAGTCAACAATATCCAAAGGACCATATTCCTACCCTCTCTGCAAACTTTGAAAAATGGAATTGAAAAGTGGAAGAAGTGAAGTTGTTTCCAAAATGAAATCCCAGTGTCTTGTTCTTTGCCTTCTCATAATAAAAATGTCATGTGTAATATCATGTGCTCGTTCAATTAGTTGTCCTGAATCCAGTGGTATAGATGTGACCCTAGTGTAGCACAGTATTATAACAGCAATTTGTGCATGAATTTCAGTAGGCCTTAGGGAAGAGAAGGGGGTTGACATCATCTCCAGATTTGCTTCAAGTTTAAGGGATTACAGTAATGTAGGTTGTCATTACATTAACTTTCAGGTGGAAGTTATATGATTTGTCCTACCGTCGTCACAGATACCCAAATTGGGAACATGGGAGAGGATCTTCTCAGTGTGCCCTCCTCCCCCAGACTCTGGAACTATCTTCCCAGGAAAATTAGGCTCACAGCCTTCATATCTTTCTTTCATAGATACTAGTGAAAGACTTTTCTGTTTCAGCTGGTGTTTGATGGTTGATTCTGCAAGGCCTTTCCCACCTAAACAACAAACTTGATTTTTCTATTTGTTGTGCCAGTGTATATGTGTTTGTTCAATAATTTATGTTCTAATTGATTTTATATTTCCCATTCAGTCTCTTTTTTAATGTTGTATTTTGCGAATTTTGAATCTATAGCAAACCACTTTGAGTCTCAAACTTGAGGAATAGTGAGATCTAAATAAATATGGTTCTTGATGATAATGATGATATATACACACACTCTCCTTGCCCCCTTTTCCTTCCTTATAACAAAAAGTTGAACATGTTGCCTGTTTTCCAGCTGTGGAAGGTTGTTGCCTGAATGAGGAGCAGTTCCTGCCTTTTGCATGAAACCTTTCTGGATAGTTATCTGGGCTTTAAAGACATCATTACATTTCAACAATTATGTGGCAGAGCTGGGGATGTAGTTACTGCTTTCTGCAGTTACACTTGAGGCTAAATAAGTGGGACAAAAGCCAGCAGCTCCTGAAGATTTGATTCATGCATGTCCAAAGTTCCTCAGGAAACAGCAGCAAGGAGCGGCAGCAATTCTTGTGCCGCTGCTGTGCCTGATACTTCTTAGAGTAACAAAGAGGCCGCTCCAGGCCACAATCCAAGTAGCATTGTTCTTTAGGGGTGTCAGTTCACAATAATAAACAAGAGGACAGAGCCAAGAATCGGAAGCAAGCCTTTTGGCTAGCAAAGAGACTATAATTTCTTGCCCTTTTGCAAAATATTTTAACTACTAAAATTTGGTAAAGACAGACATATCACTCTTGATCCATCTTGTCTTTTTGCCCTCCTTTAAACTGCCTGTTTGAAGATTGAAAATACCACATTTGTGGAGCCAAAATCAGAAGATTGAACCTATTTAGAAGACTGGCGTGTGCAATGCAAAAACATTTGTTTGAGTCTTTCCCCAGACACAGGGTTCGTTTAGGAAACCTAAACTCTGCAGTAGCTGTGAAGTCACTCCTGAATGTCAACATGTTATCTGGGAACCAGTTTATCTCCATAATAAGGAATTGTGGAGGATGCTGTGGGGTTTGCATAAAACTTTGGAACGGTCCCACAGTTTGGGAACAGTACATATAGTATGACTGCTTCTGATATGGACCAACACACTGTCCACATATGCTGCCACCACCAATACCGTTTTTCCCTGTGCTTATCAGTGAAGGGGAAAGGGAGTGGATTGGGCTCATGTTACTCGCATGATCACTATTGGATGTTCACACCCCCTCCCTTCTTCTCCCTAGTTTTGCAGGTGCCTCTGCTGAGATCAGCATAAGGTGCCCATGATGGCCAGGATCTCTCCTGCAGATCTTGGTCATCTCTGTGGCTGTCCAGATGTAGTGACAGCAACAAACAAGGTGGGACGATAGTCCAGGAGGGTTTCGATCTAACTGTACCTTGTAATTTCCATTCCATTGTATGCCATAAAGCAGGCACAAAGCATGTTGCTACCTTCAGAGCCAGTCTGCAGTATTATTGCTCCAGACTGACTGCAGATTAAGCACCCAATGTAAATAAGCCCTTAGTCTAGTATCACCATCCTGTTTTCACCCTCAGAATGTTTAATTTCTATCAATACTTATAAAGACCAGATTTTCAAAAGGTCAGAGGGATTTTCCCTCCACACCTGAGTATTTAACAATAAACCAACCCTTCTAACTCTTTCTAAATAAGATTTCCTCTTCCCTATGCCACACTAAACTGTGCAGTGCCAATACAAATGCTAGACCTGTATTACATGAAGAAACAGCTGTTGCAGGTAACTGGAAAACCTTTCACTCTAGAAGGATAACCCTTGGCAAATGATGTAATATGCTGGGCACCTAATGGACCTCCAAAGAATAAAGAAAGAACTGCCCTTTTAAAAAAAATCACTGAACACTTAAATACCTAAGGTGTGCCAGGCTCAGAGGGTAGGTGATATGTCACTATTAATTCTGACAGCTTCATGGGAAATGTCATTAAAGGTTCATTCATCAAATAATATGTCCTACATTAGCCAAAACAGCTGCCAGTAATGAAGAGCAAAATACCCTATCCAGACATAGACAACATTCTCTTGGCCTTACTAGGTGGGTAGAAGAAATTTTGAGAAAGAGCTAGAAAGGGTTTCCAGGACTGCTTTTCTGGCCTTGCCTCTTGTCTCTCTGCTTAGGGTTGAGCCATTCTTATCTTTGCTCTTTCTAGATCTTAACAAAGACACCCAATAAAGCTGTTCCAAGTGGTGACCCATATGTTAGTGCCTGTCTGAGAGCCATTGGCTGTCAGTCCATATCAATTAAATAGTTATATATATATATATATATAGAGAGAGAGAGAGAGAGAGAGAGAGAACAAGTACAAAACTTTATTATGGTCACTGGCCTGCAAAAAGCAAGGCACAAGCGCCCTGGGAGGGGAAGGACAACTCCCCAGTGAAACAATTATTTAAAAGTCAATTAGAAGACAGTTTAAAATCACATTTTAAAACCCAGGTTATTGTAACAGGTATGGAGCTGAAGGGGGGGGGGTGGAAGAGATTGATAGGAGGGGTCAAAATACTGGGGGGGGGCACTAAAGGGAAAGGGAGGGGCACATTGCGAGTCTAGTAGCACTTCAGCTGTAACATGTTGCTCTAACTACATTTCCAACAGGGTGTTGCTTTGTGGGGTCAATCATCTTCATTAAGAACAATCTGCACTTCTGGTCCCCCATCCTAGCGTCATTGTTTACCTGCATAGATAAATATGGAAAGATACCAAAGGACTGGGGGCTGGCAATTATTGTCCCCATATATAAAAAGAAAGGGAAGTAGGAAGTTGGCCCTGCAAAGTATGGACCCATTAGCCTCCTCAATACCATCAGCAAAATATATGCAAGGTACCTTCAGTGGAAACTGCTGGACTGGATGGAGCAAGAGAACATACTTGCAGAGGAGCAAGCCGGCCTCAGGGAAGGACTATATGTGTGTGTGTGTGTGTGTGTGTCTTCATCTTCCTAGATAGCTTTGTGCTTTTTATATAAGTGGAGTTAATCCAAACTAGGTTAGTTGAATGTGGCTTCCAGTTAAATCAATGAAAGTTTGGTCTCTTCAGATGTCACCCCAATGAATCCAGTAAGACTTGTTTATGAGTAAGTGTATATACATCATAGCCTTAGTCTGGATACAATTCATAGTTTTTTCACAAATGAACTGGCATAACAATTAGAATAAGGATGGTTTGTATTCAGAATTTTGTCCTGCTTGGCTTCCTCTTCAGATGGGAAGTGGGAAAGTGGAGCTCCTGCAGCCTCACTTGTGGTGTCGGACTACAGACCCGGGATGTCTTCTGTTCTCATCTCCTCTCAAGAGAAACAAATGAAACAGTGATTTTGGCAGACGAGTTGTGTCACAAACCCAAACCCATCATGTTACAAGCCTGCAATCGTTTTGACTGTCCCCCATCCTGGTACCTTTCAGATTGGCAACAGGTAAGTAAGGCTTTAGTTATGTTTCAGGGTGGGTGAGGAGGAAATATACCAAAGCTGTATAGTGAATTGGATATGTGAGCAGGCTGTACATTCATGCTCTGGTGTCTTCTGCCCATATCCTACATGCACATCCTCCATTGACTGCATGTGTGCCCTCCTTAGCCAGTCGCTTAGCCCAGGGCTTCTTAAACTTTTTCCACTAGCGACCCCTTTTTGCCCAAGATGTTTTTATGCTACATTGAGTATATGGTTATATAAAATAGGAATAAAACTAAAACATTTACTGATAATAAAACAATTCTTTGATATACATTTAATTTTACCATTTATAAAAGATGAAAGAAAATGTGTATACTTATGAGATTGATATTTATTTTTACTTAAAGACTTAAACCTTGGTGGGATATTTGATACTACAGGGCGTAGAGCATCTTCAGTGTTTTTCAGAGTTGAGAAAGCTCTTTTTTGCATCAATTAGTGGTGTAAAATGGCAGAAGTATGTTTAGAGCCAGGCATGAAGCCCCCAAAGCCCCCCCCCCCCCAAAAAATTCTCATTGTGATCTGTGAAAAGGCCTTACTGGTACATTATTTAGACTGTTATGTTTATTCATATCAAGATCTGATCACCATTCTCAATATATCTCATATGCATGGGGGTATTGGGGTAACGATACAAAAGGTTTGCTAGAGTAGACCCTCTTTCACTCAGACTCAGCCCCCCCCCCCCCCCGAATCGAAATCCTGGCTACAGGCCTGTTTAGAGCCATTTCAGAAATTGTTGTAAAGTCTGTCCTAATCCCAAATCACAATGCTTTTATAACATTTTTTTCAGGAAACTCAAGTTTTACACTTATTTTGCTGAATAATTCGGCACATTCTTCTTGAACATTTAATTCTAGATGACTCAAGTTTTTTTTATTTCAGTTGGGTATGGTTGATGAACTTAATTTAGAATAATATTTTCTGAAACTGAAAAAATAGCCATCAAGCAAAATTAGCAGTTGCAAGGCTTGCTGAATAAGGCAGCTGGATTTTCCCTTTTTACAAAGTACAACTGAAGCATTTGTTGCTGAGTCCACTATTAAATGCCACATGTTGTTGCTAACAGATTCATGTAGATGCCTAAAACAGCCACTAGGAGGCAGGGTACACAAATTATTTTTAGTCATTAGAAATCTTTTACTGTTGCCTTTTTTTTTTTTTTTTGCAACTCCCTGTTTAGTTATGCGACCCATATATATGAGGCCATGACCCACAATTTAAGAAGCTTTGGCTCAGCCAATCAACACGGAGTAAATCTCACCAAGAACTTTCTGCTTTGACTGGTATTTTTTAACACAAACAAATAGAAGAATTCGGCTTACAAATGTTAACAATCTTCTTCTCCGAGGCTTTTGAGTACTTGTAAAGAAAGATGGCCTGAATTATATTTGTTCTAAATTTTTAATGTTCTTGGCAGAAATACTCCTGATAACGATCGCCATGTTAAACATTTTGAATGATTAAAATGACATCCTTATACATGCAAGTCTTTATTTATTTTGCACATGCACCCTCCTTGGGATGTTTACCTTGTTTTCAGGCATTTTCTTCTCTTTGCCTCCCGCCCAAAGGAAAGGAAGTATCAGAATTCATTTTCACAAGCCCCCATAAACATTGCTTTTTCAGAAAGTGGCTGAAAAGTGCTGCATCAATAAATTGTTTCATACCTTTGTTGTATTACTGAAAACTGGGATATTTTTTGTAGGAGAATGTGTGGTTGGTTTATTCAGGACCTGTGTTAAAATTACATAGCCCAATATGGTGTGGAACATGTATTCAAAGACTTCTTTCATCCTTGCCCCCTGCCAACATTTTCTATCAGTGTTTTTCTAAAAAGACCTTCCGAAAAAGGACAAATTAACATCCTTTAGAAGCCAATAAGACCATTTCATGTTTTAGGAGAAGTGGTTGATGCTCTCCTCTAGATATAAATCTTTTGGCAATTAAAGCTAACCATTAAAAGGATGTATAGAAAGAACGAACCATTTAAGACTGAGCAAAAGCATATAACTGCATGGATCCATCCCTACCATTCAGACATTCAGTAAAAAGAATGTTAACCTTTTCCCAAATTTTAAATCAGCTACAGAAACATGGTGAAACTCTTGTGTTGGGCTGAAGCATTTTGAAAGGTGAGAGGTATGACATCTTGGCTCTGCCTTCTCCTCTCCACTGTTTTAGTTCCCCCTGTTTATAGGCTTTCCCAATAGTGTAGACACCTTCCTTTGTATTAGTTTTTCGATGGAGCTTAAAAATCCCCCCAGAAGCCAGTATTAGTTGGCCTATTCTATTTCCCTGTATTGAGCTCTTTGTTGGACTCCTCCCTCTTTTCTGCTGCATAGCTACAGAGATTGTCTGGTATCATAGGCCCAAGCAATCAAAACAGGCATTTAGCAGTATTACTATACCAAGCAATCAAAACTGCATTTAGCAGTATTACTATACCAACAGTACAAAGGATAACAGAAGCTTTTGGCTATCCTAAGTTTCACAGGAGAGAAGATTAAGACAGTTTGTAAGCAACAACTTATGATCCATCACTTAACACAAAAGACTTTCAAAGATTCCAGAGAGATGACTGCAGCCAGCAAAATCTCCTTTTATAATGTATTGTTTTAAGTTACCTTATGTTGGTCCTGGGTGGAGTTAGCCCTTTATTCATCTTGTTCCATTAAACTCATTTGGTATCTTTTCGCCTTGCCTAAAGTTCCTCTGTCTGCTAAGGGTCTTAATCTTAACAGAAGGTATCAGATAACTCCCGAGTAAAGCCAGACAATATTGTTTTTCCAAAGGCTCAGGCGTGCCATCACATTAGGTTTAAGTTTATTTTTGAAGAATTAACAAAATTTGCACATTCTATCATATCTTAAATGGGGTTTCAAAATCTTCATGTAGGAGGAGAAATGACAGATTTTTTTCTATAGCTAAATAACTTCTTTACCCCAAGATCAGGACTATTATCCAAGTTGGATTTTTGCTGAGCTGGATTTAATTAAATTGACAACAAATAGATGTTTAGCACATATACAACAAATGGGTATATGAAGCAGTATCATAGTGGCAGGATGTGTTTTTGGTCCGCATGCTTGTTGAAGGGATGAGATGAATGAGCAACTATAATTCCAAACATGGGGACATTGGGATATGATGTACTGCTTCTCATCATGTTATGCAGAATAACTATGTGGAGAAGTGTAATCAAAGGCCTTCTGTATTGTATATAGTTTTGCCCTAAGTGGAATAATCATTGTATGATATGAAACTGGTTCACACTTGGATATACATTATTTTTTCTTTCTTTCACTCCTCTTACATATTCCCCAACTGCTTTTCAAGGTCTCAGTTTCTTTCTCATCCTACCACTTGTGGCATTTGTCCTCAAATTATTTCAGTTGAGTTCAAAGTACAAAAGAATCAACAAGAGGGAAAGAAGAGGCAAAAACAAACCGCTCCATCATCTCCTAGCTTGTGTTTTTCCTCATTAATACATTTTGCAATCTTGATCCTACTTTGATGCAACTTGTCTGTCTACACATCCTGTAGGCACTTGGGGTGCATCTGCACTGTAGATATAATGCAGTTTGGCACCACTTTTAACTGCCATGGCTCAATGCTATGGGATGATGGGAATTACAGGGCCTTCTCTGCCTTGAATTGGCTGATGCCTCGTCAAACAACAAATACCAGGGTTACATAGCATCGAATCCTGGCAGTTAAAGTAGTGCCCACCTACATTACTTCTACAGTGTTGATGCATCCTTGATGATTTGCAGATGAATAGCAGATACTCTATAAATATTTAATTAAAGTAGGGGGAAAACGGCAATCCCAAACCCAGATTTTTCTGTACTGGAGGTAATATTAAAATCCTGCCCATGGTGGTCACCCATGCCACTCATCATACCACAATGGCCAAGTGATGAAGACAAGGTGGTGAGTTTGCAGATATGCAAGTATAACCAACCAAGTTCCCTTTGCATATGTCTAAAAATAGACATTAATTTAAAACATGGAGACAGGCCTGAGCTGGCCACAGTGGGTCAAGTGAATTCTTTCCTGGCCTGCACGGGTGTGTAGGAGGAGATTTATATTAAGGCGGATTGGGGTTACAATTCTTTATAAATTAATCTTCTATGTTTACATTGACTCATATAACCCTTCCTCCTTTATTTTTGGAAGCAGTGCACACAGCAGTCACCAGGAGTCATAAATATAAAAAGCTATGAGGTTCCTTAATGGTTTATTATATTAACCTTACAAACCAATTATTTTGCTCAGCTGCAGATCGGAGCTCCAGAATGCAGCTTTCCCATGAATTATGTGTATATGTATATAGCACATGCATACATTATTTGAAAATGAGAGATTGAACTACAAAATTAAGTTGGGCTCGTTGAACTGAAGGTTTCCTGAGCAAAGAGAAAGCACAAGTATGGCTCCCCTGTTGTGCTGCTTGTTTAACTTACGCTCTTCGCTCAGTGGCCTAGACATAATGGCTGCCATCCCAAAGTATGTGCATTTACCCCAGTGGGACTTAGTCAGCCTATTGCACTATGAGTTGTTGCTAATGTCAGCAAGCCCTAAGCTCCTGCAGCTGCTGTTGTTCTTCTACAGTGTTCACAGACCTGCGGGGGTGGCACCGAAAAGCGGGAAGTACTCTGCAAGCAGCGCATGGCTGATGGAAGTTTCCTAGAGCTTCCAGATACATTCTGTTCCACTTTGAGGCCAGTCTCCCAGCAAGCCTGCCAAAATGAAGACTGCCCTTCCGAATGGCTTCTCTCAGACTGGACACAGGTATGGGAAAGAGTAAAGATTGTACATGGACTATCTTTGGGACAGGACTGTTGGGACCCTCCAGATATTGTTGACCTTAGCTTCCTATCAGCCCCAGTTAGCATAACTGATGGTAGGGAGGGTGGAAGTTTCACTCTAACATCTGGAGGTCTGTAAGTTGTCTACCATTGCTTTGATAGCTTTCCCTAGTTCAATTCTCCCAATTTATTGGTTTATTGGTTTTATTTGGAAATTGATATTTTTGTCTACAGTATCTTGAAGTGCATAAGAGTGCACCATGAAAAGAGGTATGAATAGAATCCATCTCTGCCTCATGATTATGGGAGTTGTATTGCATGTTTTGTAGAGAAGGCTTAACTATTAAGTAATTATCTATTATAACAACTCAGATAAATAGGTCGATTGTTTAAGGAAGCCTATTGCTTACACATATACCCATTTTGTGACTGAAAAAAGCTGTCTATCCCTCCTTAAGCAATGTGTCTTCTTCTTATATTACACACATCAAAATCTATACAATCCTCATTTCTACACGTTGACACAATATTTTATTTATTAAAAGTATTTTTACGTACCAAGTTTTTATTTCCTTCCTTTTATTATTTCATGTGTTCCTTAATTGAAAAAATGCATGGATCATACTCTTAATTTCATGGAAAGTAGTCCCACAGAAATTGAAGGACACATGAAGATTTCCATTATGTTGTTCACCATATTATGTATTTTATGGTTTTGTTTCTCCAACCAATTATCAGATAGCTCACACATGAAGGGGACCCCTTTTTAAATTATTCCAAAGCTCTAACTACTTTAATCTGGTCTTGAGTTTTGTCACAATCTAAGTACGCCAAAAAAAGAAAACAAAGCACTGTAAGAATGGGTTGGATGCTTCTACCTATCACCAAATTCGCACAACCATTTATTATTATTATCATTATGTTTATTATGTTTATTATGTTTATTATGTTATGTTTATTTATACCCCGCTTTATTTCTCCCAAAGGAGACACAAAAGGGTTTACATTACAAGTATAACCATGTTGCAAAACATATTTTAAATGTTGAAGCAACCCTTTAGGGACAATCCTAGACAACAATCTTTGCACATGGTTATTTTGCACAGAAAACAGGATTTTCTGCACAAAACTATCTCTAGATAAAATTTTATTTCCTGTGCCAAAAATGCTAGTTCCTATGCAGAAAATACTGTAATTGGACTTATTCTGTGTAAAATATACATGTGGTTGATTTGCATAGGAAATTGTATTTCTGTCAAGAAAATAGATTTTTGCACAGAAATAGTATTTTCAGCTAGGAAATAAGAATGGTTTTGCAGAAAATGTCTTTTCCTGGTAAATCAACCATACAGAATTTTGTCCAGAATAAATTCAAAATTGTGAAAAGTTCTTGAAAACTGAATGGTTTCAGATACAGCCCTTTCTCATAACATGAGAATAAGTGCCACATTTTTGTTCTTTTCTGGGATAAATTTATTAAAGAATTACACCCTAGCTCTAGACTGAGTTTCTTGTAAATGTTGGTCCTAACACTTGGGTGGAACTTTTGAAATAAATAGATTTTGTGGACATTGATATTACAGTGCATGTTGCTGGAATCAAACCTCCCTTTGATCCATGTAGTATCTTTCCTAATCAGCCACTGTTATGTTCCCAGTGTTCAGTGAGTTGTGGTGAGGGAACCCAGACACGAAATGCTATTTGCAGGAAGGTGCTAAGTACCGGACTTTCTGCCATCATCAACTCATCGTTCTGCCCACCTTTGCTGTTCTCTTCTTTGGTCAGACCATGTGTACTAGGGACCTGTACAAGTAAGTATGATGAAACAATAATGATTGGGGTGGGGGGTGTAAACATTTGGGATTGAACAGGTTCATGTTACTGAGTAATAGATTACTGCAGGACAATGCAAGGTGTGAAGCTCCCAGTACTTCAACAAAGCCATTCCCCACAACTAAAGAAAGATGGATTTGAATCAATGCCACAGTGCTGTTCCAATTTGTCTCATCAATGAAGCATTAAAACAGATAGTAGCAGAGCACATTCACATGCAGCCTTAAAAAAAGCAACCATTCCCAATCACAATTGCCCAAAAGTACAGGTAATCTCTTCAGACACTCTTCCCACAATGCTTGGTTCTGAAGAAAACCAAATCAAGTCTCTCTGATCCTTCAGAATGAGAGGGAAGCCCTACCTGCTCCACACTGTTCAGAACTCTTTTGTCTTCAGGTGGGCTTTGGGATGAGATGGAAAATAGATTCTTTTACTGAGACTTGCCCGTGGAAAGTAACAGAGCACCCTCTCAGTGCTGGCCTATGTTGGCCACCTCTCCCATTTTACTGCTGGAGAAAGTGGATTTGCTTTTGTGAAACCATGATGGTCATAATGGATGACTACTTTAAAAAATACACAGACATGCACACACACCGTGATCTCAATCTGATATACCTACAGTGTAATGTAAATATGCACTTCCAGCGATATGCTACACTAGCCCTACAGAACTCCCTTGCAGAATATTACTTAACATGTGACAATGACATCAGTCCCTATGCACAAGAGGGTTGGAAATGTCATTCTGTTGTGCCCCAATTTCCAGCTGAATGGACCTTAATCTCTCAGTGTGACTTGCTGCCAATTAAACTAGAATTTGAGGAAGCATTTACTATTTAGGGCAACAGTGCCTTTGTTAGGATTGTGTTGGGCTAATGAATATGGAACAATGATGGATTCGTAATGTTAGGTTGTAAATCCATAACTGCAATACAGATTGCCAGCCAATGTATGTACATTTTACTTTTTCTCTACATAAATGCATACACATATTGAACTGGAGAGAATTGTTTGCCATTCATAACTGATGATGTTCATGGAAGTTAGGGATTGACTTCTGAGTGTAAAACAAAACATTATTTACAAAATCCATGACACAGCCCTCATATTCCTTTCAGCAGTTTGGCACAGAGATGTGAACTCCAAGGACCCACATAACTAATGAAGTCCAATATTATCCACTGTGGGGTTTTCAACTCACTCTAAGTAGATTTGTTCTGCTTCATATTACTCCCTTGAGGCTGTATTACATTTGTTCCTTCTTGCTGCTCTGAGCTGCAAGGCCTCACAAGGCTGAAATGATAAACATTTAACAAGGGGAGTTCCCTTTCTCTCTTGTTCGTTTCTTATGTTCCTGAGGCTGGCTCCTTCATTTAAAGACTTTTTAACAACAGGAACTGCATTTCCCCCATCACTATGAGTTCTGGCTTCTGCATTTAACCAGAGCAGGATCAAATTTGTTTAGCTAAATTACTGCCTGTTATTCCCGATTTGGGAAGAGGGGGTAGACTGGGTCTAGGCAGCTGTGACCCATCTACATGCTGTAAATCGTAACAACTAAAATTACAGTTTGTTTACAAGGGTTGAATCTATATTTTATTCCTGATACGGTTTATTTAGATTGACTCTGCATACCTGGTCCCCTCAAAATGTCATCCCCATGTCAAATTCCCATCCCTTTCCTTATTAGTGAGTAGGTAGGAGCCCCGGGTGGTGCAATGAGTTAAACCTTTGTGCTGGCAGGACTGAAGACCAGCAGATGTTTGAATCCAGGGAGAGTGCGGATGAGCTCCCTCAGTCAGCTCTAGCTCTGTCAGAAGCCTCCCACAGGATGGTAAAACATCAAAACATCTGGGTGTCCCCTGAGCAACCTCCTTGCAAATGTCCAATTCTCTCACACCATAAGCGACTTGCAGTTTCTCAAGTCACTCCTGACACGAAAAGTAGGTGCAAAGGCTCCATGATTGGCTGGCATTAGAAGTCACCATAGACAAGAATCTCTAGAGCAGTGGTTCTCAACCTTCCTAATGCCGCAACCCCTTAATATAGTTCTTCATGTTGTGGTGACCCCCAACCATAACATTATTTGTGTTGCTACTTCATAACTGTAGTTTTGCTACTGTTATGAATTGTAATGTAAATCTGGTATGCAGGATGTATTTTCATGCACTGGACCAAATTTGGCACAAATACCCAAAACGCCCAAATTGGAATACTGGTGGGGTTGGGGTATTGATTTTGTCATTTGGGATTGCTGGGATTTATAGTTACCCTACAATCAAAGATCATCCTGAACCCCACCAACAATGGAATTGAACCAAACTTGGCACACAGAACCCCCATGACCAACAGAATATGCTGGAAGGGCTTGGTGGGCATTGACCTTGGGTTTTGGAGTTGTTGTTCACCTATATCCAGAGAGCACTGTGGACTCACACAATGATGGATCTGAACCAAGCTTGGCACGAATACTCAATATTCTGACCCCAAGAACAATAGAATTGGGTCAAACTTCCCACACAGAACCCTCATGATCAACAGAAAACTGTTTTTTCTCATGGTCTTTGGTGACCCCTCTGACACCCCCCTGCAACCCTCACAGGTTGAGAAACACTGCTCTAGAGGCTAAGATAGAGGCTACTGCTGATCCTGAAGATTTACAAGGTCATTAGCTTTCTCAGCAAATTATTGCCAGTTTTCCACCAAACTACCAATCCCAGGATTCCATAGTACTGAGCTATGACAAAGTGGCATCAAGATGCATTGATTTTGCATTGTAGGTGCACCAAAGCACTATGTCTTCCATTTAGTGAGGCACACTAAAAAAAAGTATCTACAAAGCTACAATTACACTATGGACTGTGTGATCCCTTGCTAAGTTGCTGTTATGATGCAATTGAAAAGGAGCCTGATGGCACATAAATATCTGCTTTTGACCCATTAATTCCAAGAACTGGATGCATTGCAAGAGAAGTTCTATTAGTTGAAGGGGAGGGAATAACTTGAGTCCATTTTGGATGTAAGTCAGCTAGATTGAGGCTGCAAAGGTGTTGTCACGTGTCTTCCAAATATTATTAATTGTATTTCAGGACACCAGAGGCCTGCTCACAAGCAACCCCCTATGATAATGGCTCAGAAGAAAGTTTTTATCCAAACAAGGAAGCAGAAAAAGTTGCACTTTATTGTTGGTGGGTATGCCTACCTACTTCCCAAAACCTCTGTTGTTCTTCGGTGTCCTGTGAGAAGGTTCCGGAAACCAATGATCACTTGGGAGAAAGATGGCAAACGACTCATCAGCTCAGTTCATGTTACAATTGCTCCTTATGGATACATGAAAATTCACCGGTTGAAGCCTTCAGATACAGGTACATATACTTGCACTGCAGGGCCAGCTCAGGAACATTTTGTGATTAAATTAATAGGAAGCCACAATAAACGTGTTGCCGCCCTCTCTGCCGGGATAAAGGAGGAAGAAGCCACAAGGAAGGCCAGTTTGAATGAAGCTTTCAATACCCAGGAAAAGCATCAGAATAGTATTCTCTTCAATGGAAGCAAAACTGAGAAACGAGGGCTCCTTACCGATCCCAGCAACCGGTATGATGATATTGTCTCAAGACTTCTGGAGTACAGAGGCTGGTCCCGTGATAACACAGAGCCATGGGAAGTTCAGGACTCTACAGAGAGAAACATCTCTTCAGAAGAAGACCAGGGCCATGAGTACAACCTTCCTTTCACCATGGTAGCCAGCCAGAATCGTTTGGATGACATCCTAAGAAACCTGTCTCAGCAGCCTGAGGAATTTAAGGACATCTATAGCAAGCAACTTGTTGCACAGTTGGCCCATGAAATTTTCAAGAGCCATTTGGAACACCAAGAATCACTTTTCAAAACTCAAGGGAGTAGGGTTAGTTCTGCCTCGGTGGAGTTCCCATTTAGCAAGGATTTTTCTGAGTTCAGTGCTTTGAGAACATCTTCAGCAGAAGCACACATGTCTCTGGAACTCACAAATGGCTCCCGTGGGTCCCATAGAAAACCTGCAATTCTGAAGAAGATATCTGCAGCACAGCAGCTCTCAGCATCTGAAGTTGTCACACATTTAGGACATACCGTAGTTTTGGCCAGTGGGACACTGAGTGTACTTCTTCACTGCGAAGCCGTTGGGAACCCAAAACCTGCCATTACCTGGGCAAAGAATGGAGAAGTAATACAGTACAGTGAAAGGTAACAAAACTATGCCATTCACCCCTCTAAAATGGTTAGACTGTTCAGTTTCTTCATTTTCTCTCCATGGGGGAATACTTCCCCAGACTTCACGTGGATATAGGAAACCATGGATAATAGACAACACTATTATTCTCAGTACCTATTGATCTACTCACATTTGCATTTAGGTTGGCAGAAGCTGGGGCTACCAGCGAGAGCTCACTTCACTCCCTGGATTCGACCTGCAACCTTTCAGTCAACAAGTTCAGCAGCTCAGCGCTTTAACCCACTGCACCATCAGGGGCAAATGTGAGTAGATCAATAGGTACAGCTCCGGCAGGAAGAGAATAGCGCTCCATGCAGTCATGCTGGCCACATGACCTTGGAGGTATCTACAGACAATGGTGGCTCTTTGGTTTAGAAATAGAGATGAGCACCAACTCCCAGTCAGATACGACTGGACTTAATGTCAGGGGAAAACCTTTACCTTATTATTCTCAGTGGGACAATGACAGGAAGGTGCAGCTTATACATGAGGTTGTAAGTGAATAACCAATTAGGTGGAGCTCTGGATCTCCAGAACCATGATTATTGGTTATGCACATGGTGGGTTGCACTATACCTTTTGCTTCTCACTAGGGTCAGAATTTTGTATAGTAAACCTCTCTCTACTCTCCCCAAACCTGACATAAATATTCAACCAGACTGTAATCATTACTGCATCAATTGCAAAAGGATGCATGACCTTCTCCTTATGGAAGTAATGGTCCCATATTCACAATTGCTACTTAATCACATTTTTACTCTGTTGCCAAAATTTTAACTCTCCTCTCCATCTGTTTTACTGGGCATCAGCTGCCAGTGAATGAAGCACAGTCAAATGGTATTTCAGTTAGCTTTGGCATGTGAGATATGTCTTTCCTTCTCCTGACCTGACACACATACCCAATCTTATCAAATATTTACCTAAGTAGCAAATACCAAATTCTGGCCATTGTCTCTTCCTCATCCAGTTACCCCCCTGGTTTTGTTGCTCTTGCTAACAATGTTCAGAGATGTGTTGTTTGGGCTATCATACAGAGTTTGAGTGAGAGTTTAATAGTGCTTCCAGATACCGTGCTGTTACTGTTACCAGTCAAAAGCAACCCTACAGTTAGTCTGTCTTTTCCTCAACATAATCTCTGTGATAAGAAGAAAGATGGAGTAACATGAATATTAACAGAGGGATAACATGAATATTAAAAATAGAAAACAATTCCACTTGTAACTCCCATAGAAATCTATGAATGCAGATGGACAACTGCGCAATGAAAGCTTTGTCTGGAGGCACTCTTGGTTGCTGTTTAGCTAGAAATGTTGCAAGACAGACAGAGTCAACAAGTAAAAGAGGTCCAGATGAATTGCAAGTTGCAGTTAAGACTTACGCCCACAAACCAGTTACATTTTCATATATGTCAACTTACTATTCAGTAATGCGTTCAATTGGTGTATTCTAGTTGAGGCTACCAGTAGGATTTAGACTTGAAGTAGAAGAGTGAACTATATTAGTATAGTTGAGAATTCCATTGTGAATATTTCCTAGGTGAAAAACAATACTATTGCGAGAAAGAAATACATCTAGAAGAAATTTACTAATCCAGCTCTAGAAGTGTTTCCTAGAGGGAGCTCTTGGGAATGAAGTTTTCAAAACTTTTGAGATTTTATATACATGAAACACTGAATTATATAGCTTTTTCAGGAAAGACATTTTTCTCTTCCCGGGTTGAAGAGAAGGGGAATGTGGCCCATAATCAAGATAACCACTAGTATACCATATGAGTAAAATGTCTCTAGGACTGCATCCTCTAAACCACAAGTGAATCTGATTAGCAGTAGTGACAACTAATAGCATCCTGCTCAGAGGTGTGGTTTTAATACTGTACCTATGTTCCATCTTCTAATCCAACCTCTGAATCCCACCTTCAAAGCCTGTCTGCCATTCAGAATAGTGGAGTTTTGCAACACTGGCAAAGGAACACTGCAGGATGACAGTCCTGTACACCTAGCAAGCAAAGTGCAATGAAGAATTGCAACAGAACCCACAATAGTTCCTTCTTCCATTCCTCATATCATGATTTACAGGCAGGAAGTGACAGGGGATATCATCATATAACAGTCTGCTTACCAGCATCACTGTAAACTCTTTCTCATTATGAGTTCATATTGTCTGAAGATATAGCATCTCCAGACAGATACTCCAGATAGAGTATTGCCAGACAAGGCAGGTGTCCAGACAAGACCTGTGGCATACTTGTCTTAAGGTTCCTTATCACTGTTTTATGGAGCATGGGTTGCCTGGGAAATTCCTCTGACTGCTGCTTTGATTAGCTACTCACATAATGGATATTTTTGTGACTTGAAAGTCTAACTTTATACAGAGTGGTTCCTTATTATTTTAGACATGGTTCTAGAAAAGAGAAATTACTACCATGTGATGTTATCACACTGCTGGCGAGATATGATTAGTGTGGTTGCTGTTCCCTGTTCATTGTTGATTAAGCTTCCATGGCATTCCATGGGTTTAAATCTGATATCGATTTTATATTGTATATTGGCATGATTGGAAGATATCTTGAAAAGGATTCAACTTTTTTTAAAAAAAACAACTGAACAATTCCTAATAGGTTTGTTTCATGCTAATATTTCATGCCATGTTGATTGGTTGTGGCGAATGGTAATAATTCATATTTTCTGCATACAGCTTCACTCTGGTCCCATTTGACACCATGTCCAATGTACATATATACCTGAAGCACAGTGGTGGCTCCTGGCTTCCATGTTACTTTTGGGGTGAATTGCTCCAAGTTTGAGTTTGAACTTTGAAGGAGTAATCCAGGATATTGAGCCTGTTTTGGGATTAAGGCTAAACACCTTGATGGAAAGCTTAGAAAAAAACCACAGAGCAGATTCAACACCACAATAGCATGATAGCCGTCAGCCACCACTGTGACAGCTTTAATATTGTACTCCACCCCTCTGAAAAAGTGTTTTATAATCTAGGAAAGCTCATGCAAGAATATTTTTTCAGTCTTGAGAAGGCCACAAGGCTCATTATTGTTTTACAGAAATTAGCTTCATCTAAAGTAAAATATTTTCCATTTCTAGTTTGATATCATTTCTTCTAGCTGCAAATTATGAAACTAGGGCCCAAGCTTTCAGGTAGCATTATCAAGCTCTACATGCTGTACAAATATACTATAAGCACAACTTGGCAACACTAAAGACTGAGGGGAGGGTGTGAAAGGCACTCATGGCCCGAAGATGGCCCTGCTTCTGTTGATGTAGTTGGAGGCATCAGGCATTAGCTGACGTATTTACAAGGCAGCTGTCCAAAAATCTGCTGCTGCCAGTTTAAGTTTCCTCTGTCTGTAAATTTTGGGCCCGAGGTTAAACATTCAAGTCCGGTCACAAGGGTCAGCCTAGGAAATGAGAAGCCACACAAGAGTCAACTCTTGGGGCTAAAATTAATTTTAAATGCCTGTTTCTGTGGAACAACTAGCAAGTTCCTGATTTATCCAAGGTGTAATTCATTGCTGTGGTTTAGATTCACCATTAGTTCTCCTGCTGCTTTGGTTTAGAAGCTCTCCAAGCGCAATGAATTCTATAATTTACTAATATTTGCAGTATCATTACTTTTTAAACCAGCGTTTTCTACAATTATTTCTTTTCCTGACAGATACATTTAGTTTTTACCACTAAAAGAAAACTTTAAAGCAACAGCAAAAAAAGAAAATGTGTGCCTCCCCACCCCCACCCTTTGCGAGAAGAGGAATGCATTTGTTATGGAAAGCACATGAAGCCTTAATCAAGAATAGGCCCACGGTATATAGCTGCTTGGATGCAGTCCTGCAAAAATATCTTTCAGGCTTTTAGAAAGTTGTATACGCAGATTTGCAATGCCAGGTTACATCCTGTTGGGAAAGAGGCCATCAAGTGATTGAAACTACAGCAGTGTGCATGTGTGTGTGTGAATGTGTCTTTTTCCACCATACTTTTAAAAAACATGGAGGTTATATAAAGGTTACACAAGTGTAAAACTTAAAATCAAACATGAGAAAATTACATATAAATCCTACACTGAAAGCAACCATATTCCAGCACTGTATGTATATCAATCAGGGGTTTTGCTGTTGAATCACAAATACTGTTTTCATCAGTGTGGATTCTTGGTTTTGAGAAGCCAAGGTGATATTGGCTTCTAAAACCAAGCAAGGTGATCTTGTAAGCTCCCTGTAAGTGTGCCTCTCTCTTCAACCTCACCACTGTACATTCATTATCCTCTGGACCTAGTGAGAAGAAAAGGAACAGGGATGAGGAGGCTGCTCCTATTTTTCCTTGTTTCCCTTGCAGCTTGATCATTGTACAAAGGGCAGCAAACAAAGTCAAGAAGTAAAGAAACTAAGACTCCAGAGGTTGGTAGTAGGCCTTCTACTGAGGTATGGACCTCAGAAATGTGCCCAGCAACTCCTTTCACTGATGTGAGCCCTGAATTTCCTTACCAATCCATGTTGAAGGATTGCAATGAAAGCCATGCCACGGATAAGTTTGTGTGTTCAGTAGATGCTCCAAAGACATATTTCCCTGCTCTCTGTTGGTTTAGCTTCATTACTGGTCCAGTTCAATCAATTAGAAATGGATGCCTAGAGATAAAATCAGGATAGTTTTGACTAGCTCTTTCACATTTCACTAAAAGTAACTTTCACAGCATCTTGTTGTATGATCTGTACTCTCTGGGGTGTATGCAAGTTGGCTGTCATACAACAACCTCTGCGTGTGCAAGTAAAAGGTAGAACAAGAAGGCAGAAGTCCATCCCACAACATGTATTTATTTCTGTTTACACAGGGCTCGTGTGGTTTGTTTCCAACTCTTACACTACTTGTCAGAGTATATAAATTTCATTTCATGAGTTTCTAAATATCCGTGTTAGCAGGCAGGTATAACTGAGGTTGTGGTCAAGAAAACGAATGTGGAAAATGGT